TTTTAAAGAGTCACGTATTATTATAGTCATCGGTCACATTTTGGTCACAGATTTACAATTTAGTTAGTCACATATTATTTTTCAGTCACAAATAATAATTTTTATACATCGATTATTTTACGGCCACAGCTCAAAAAAATTGTAGGTCACAATTAATTCGTCGATCATAGATTTTAAAATTAGTTGGTCACAGATTATATATTTTTTAGGTCATAGGTAACAAATGGTTGGTCACAAATTATATTTTTAGTCACAGAAAACCAAATTCACCAGATCCACCACCACCTCCGCACTATCGCCATAGCCTCCAGGACAACCACCACTACCAACATCACCACCACCTAAACACCACGACAACCAATAGTGACATCGTCATTTTCAAAACCACCACCACCAGATCCGCCACCACAATTAAATAGTTGCTGCACAAAACACCACCATCACCAAGATCCACCACCACCGCAGCCGCTACATGGTTCGTCCCACTCCACCACTGCGGTCGCAGCCGCCACCAACAACCACAACCGCCAATTCATTTCTTCGAATTTGATCTGCAACAACCACAACCAGATCACATCCCCTGTGTCATCTCACACGTAAAGTACCCACCACAACAACCACCATCACCACTGTCGACCACCGCACCCACCGCACAATAGATGAATCAAAAACGAAAAACTCCCTAAAAATCTAGAGCTCTCCCACTGCGCCCTGCGCTGTGGTCTTCGTCGACGGCAGCCACGTACGAGGGAGAGACGAGAGGGAAAGGCAACGGGAAGAGAGAGAAAGAGGGATAAGAGAGTGGTATTTGATTTTTAGGGTTTGATGGTGAAATTTGTATATATAATATTTAATATTTAAAATATCAAACACCTGATTTTTGAACAAAAAAATCTTCACCCTGATTTTTGAAGTTGGATCTTGAAACACAGGGTTGTGTATAATTTCCTCTTATTATTATCTTAGGTATTTGATTTGGACATTAGGCCAAAGTCAACTAGGCAATTTCATAGGGCCTCAAATCTTAAGGGGCTCCAATATGAAAATTCATTTAACCATATTTTTTGGGTCAATTCTAACTTCGTCCGATCTTATCAAAAATAAATTTTTTTCTCGAGTTTAATAAATGATTATTTATGAGCTACCAAATGATCACAATATTCTTACAATAATATGGTTTAATTTGAAAACTAATTTTAAACATCAAGTAGTTTATCCATAATGTGCTATTTATTACAAGTTACGGAATGAGTCAAATATTGATAGGATCATTCTCGGTCCTCCAATAAATACATATTTGGTCCTAATAAATTATTGATCTCGAAACTTATTTTCACTTTAGTCCTTCAAAATCTCAATTTTATTAAAAGATTCTCGAATCAAAATCATTAGAATCTAATAATGTTTCTCATCACTAAATAATCCTAACTTGTCATGTTATCATCTAAAAAAATATATATTTCTAACTATTTTTGCAATCTAGCCACTACATTTTGTACTTTTTGTAACTGAAAATCACTCTTCTTCTTACAAATCATCCTTACATTTCTCACGTCTTCAAATTATGATTTTTAAAACTTTCTCATGATTTATAAATTGCACATTACTCGAGATTTCCCAACTTTCTCATCATTTATTTTTGTGGAAATTACATGGGCCAAGAGATTTGGAGATTCCATTTCATAAATCATAGATTATGTTTTTTATTTCAAAAGTTAGATGCTTTGGTAAATAATTAATAAATATAAAATAAACATATTTTCTAAATATAAATACCGTGTTTTTTTTTGAAGAGAGAGAAAATATTACATATCAAACTAGAGAGAGAAAAACACGCATATCCAAAATTAACTCCATAATTACGTGAGAGTTGAAAAAACCCTTCCACGTTAAACCTCATGTTCTTCCACAACTCCACATCCATCTTCTCCATAAATCATCACATTTTAGTAAAAATAATTATTCATTATTATTATTATTATTCTATACTCACATTCCAATTTCATCATATTCTATACACGGTTTTCACATTCGTTGAGTTTTTCTTCGACAATACTCGACTGTGAATATGGTTTTAACAAGGAGCAATGATCCAAAATTTCACATGAAGATTTGTGAGAAATCTAGAAGAAAACTAGAGAAGAAAGCACAAAGGTTCGCAAAGTTTCAAGGTTTGAAACAAGTCACAAAACCCCCTAAAACGCGAAAACATAGTT